AGGCAGGGAATGGGGCTGATCCATGGGCTGAGCTCAGCTCCAGCCTTATCCAGCAGGGAGAACTTTCTTGGGAGGTGACAATGACCCCAAAGGGACAGAAACAAGTTTCCATGTGGACATGGAGGCACAGTCACCTCCAGCCTGGAATCCCAGAGGTTGGAAAAGACCCCAGATTTCCATGTGGGGCCAGGGGGCACCATCACCTCAACCCTCATGGAATCATTAAGGTTGGAAAAGACATCCAAGATCATCGAGTCCAACCACTAACCCACGTCCCCAAGTGCCACGTTTATATTTCCTGAACAATTCCAGGAGGGATGGTGATTCCAGCACCAACCTGGGCAGCCCGTTCCAATGCTTGCCCACCCTTCCAGTGAAGAATTTTCCCCATATCCATCCTAAATCCACCCTGTGGAGATGTAGGCTTGGTTTAGGCTGTGCTTGCTACTCCTTCCTTCCTATTTTGCTTGGATTTTTTTTTGGGGGGGAACAGGAGCAGCTCCAAGATGATGTTCCCAGCTCCCTGCCTGGCTCAGAGAAACTTTGGGAGGAGTTCTTTTATAGGGACAGGCTGTGCTTGGTAATTTTTCCCAAGTCCCACAGAAATCCCAAAAATTCCAGTGATCTCTGTGCTGAGCAGGGAAACATTCCCACATTCCCCACCCATACTGTGGATGGAAGGAATCGTGGATCTGGACACTCCTTGTCCTGCAGGTTATTGTGGAAGTTGTGTCCTTCCGTGTCCTTCCGTGTCCTTCCCTTCCCATCCTCAGGTTGCCTTGGGATGGAGGAGCTTGTCCCCGCAATCCCAGCAGTCCCATCTCCTCCTTTGCTGTATCCATGATATCCAACCTGATCCCACCTGTCCCGTGTGCTCTTGGTGCTCCCAAACCTTGTAAACTTTTCCCCTGAGGTTTTTCTGGGAATCTTTTCCCTTGGAATGTCGCCCATTTGGTCTGGAGACCTCGTCAGTCCTGCTTTTTTTGAGCTTCCTCATCCCACCAAATCCATGTGGGATAAAATGTGGATAAAATCCTCTGCTGCTTTGGGAAATCTCCGTGTGCCACAACACCTGTGGAGCTTCCCTGGAGGACAAACAAGGACTTGTCTGGGAGCAATTCCCTAATTTTGGATGGAAGAGGTGGAGCTGCTGCTCCCCAAGGTGGTGAGAAGTGGCTGGGATTTCGTTGTAGGTCCCAGGACAAACCCCAGGAAGCAGGACCTGCAGTGGATCAGCAGCTCTTGGAGAACCAGAATGGAATTGGGGTAGGAAATCTGGGAGGAATGACATTCCCTGGACCTGATCCTGCATGGAATACATCCCTCAGCCACTCCTGGGCTTTGGGATAACCTCTCTCCTTTCCCAACCTCAACATTCCTTCTCTTCTGGCTGCTTCCCACAGATCCCAAAGCCAAGTGATGGTGTTGCTGGTGGGATTTCCTCCCCCTCTGGAGATTCTGGGAATTTGGAGATGGATGAGGAGAAGGAGCTGGATCGCCCTGTCCCACAAAAGGAATGGGATTCCCAAGTCCTGAAAAGCAAAAAAGGACGAGAGAAGAAACAAGAAGAAAAGAAGGAGCAGGAAAAGGGATTGAAGAGGAAAAGAGGGAAAAAGAAGGATGAATTTGGGGATGGGATGGAGGGAATTGAGGAGGAGGAAGAGGAGGGTGATGGGGGCAGGAATTGGGAAGAGGAGCAGGAAAAGGGTTTGAAGAGGAAAAGAGGGAGGAAGAAGAATAAATTTGGGGATGGGATGGAGGGAATTGAGGAGGAGGGTGATGGGGGCAGGAATTGGGAAGGGGAACAGGGAAGAGCCAAAAGAGGGAAAAGCAATGGATTTCAGGGACAGGGGGATGGGAGAGAAAACCAGGAGACGGGAAAAGCGAAGAAACACAAGAAGGGGAAAGTTGAGGGGGTAGAAAAGGTGGGAAAAAAGGGAATAAAGAAGGAAAAAGCGCTGGAAGAGGAAAAGGAGCAAGAGGTGGAAAAGATGGAGAAGGAGGAGGAAAGAGAGGAAGGAGTGGGAGGTGAAATGGAGGGAAAAGATGAGGTGGGAAAGGGGAGTGGGGATGGAAAAGGAGTAAAGGAGGAGGAAAAGGTGGGAGAGGAGGAAAGAGAGGAAGGAGCAGGAGGTGAAATGGGGGGAGAAGATGAGGTGGGAAAGGGAAGTGGAGATGGAAAAGGAGTAAAGGAGGAGGAAAAGTTGGGAGAGACACAGAGCACGGGGATGGAGCAGGAAAAGGAGGAGGAAGGGAAGGGAGATGGGCCAGGGAAAGAGAAAAAGAGGAAAAGCAAGAAGAAAAAGCCGGAAGGGGAAGAGCAAGAGAAGGAGGAGAAGAAGAAGGAAGAGGAGGAGACTCCAGGGAAAAGCAGGAAAAGGAAATCCAAGGAAGGAGGAGGAGAAAAGAGCAACAAAAAGGCGCGGAAAGAGGAGGAAAAAGAGGCAGAAAACAAGTGGAAATGGTAAATATTCCATGTGCTTTTGGGCCCCCGGGAAGGTCCGACCCAAGGTTTGAGTTCTTTGGGTAAAAGTGTGGAAATGGAATTTTGAGTTTTATTTTTTTAGGGTAAAAGTGTGAAAATTGAATTTTTGGTTTTATTTCCTTGAGTAAAACTGTGGAAATGGAAGCTTGAGTTTTATTTCTTAGGGTAAAATTGAAAATTGAATTTTTGGTTTTTATTTCTTGGGGTAAAACTGAAAATTGAATTTTTGGTTTTCTTTCTAAGGCCAGAAGTGTGAAAACTGAATTTGAGTTTTATTTCTTTGGGTAAAACTGAAAAGTGAATTATAGTTTTCTTTCTAAGGGCAAAAGTGTGAAAATTCAATTGTAGTTTTATTTCTTTGGGTAAAATTGTGATAATGGAATTTTTGGTTTTATTTCTTTGGATAAAAGTGTGAAAATGGAATTTTGAGTTTTATTTTTTTAGGGCAAAAGTGTGAAAATTGAATTTGAGTTTTATTTCTTGGGGTAAAACTGAAAATGGAATTTTTGGTTTTATTCCTAAGGGCAAGAGTGTGAAAATTCAATTATAGTTTTATTTCTTGGGGTGAAAGTGCGAAAATTGCATTATGAGTTTTATTTCATGGGGTAAAACCGAAAATTGAATTTTTGATTTTATTTCTTGGGGTAAAAGTGTGAAAATTCAATTATAGTTTTATTTCTTAAGGTGAAAGTGAAAATTGAATTTTTAGTTTTATTTCTAAGGGCAAAAGTGTGAAAATTGAATTTTGTTGCCATTTTTTACCTGTTTTGCTGGATTTTCTGAAGCCCTGAACTCATCAGTCTTGGCAGGACGAAGGGGCTGAGAGAGAAAACCCAACAGTATCTGCAAAATTGAAGATATTTCTTTATAATTTAGTGTTTAAGGCATTTATTTAATAGTTGGTTTTAGTTATTTCTCCAGAAATGCCTTTCCTGGTGTCCAACCAGGGATGGGAGATGCTTGGAGTTGGTGCAAGGAGATAATTTGCCCAAATTATATAATAAAATATAAATATAATATATATATATAATATATAAAAATAGAAATAAAAAATATAAAATAAATAAAGATAAAATGTAAAATAAATAATAAATATATAATAAATAAAAATAAAGATAAAATGTAAAATAAATAATAAATATATAATAAAAACATTAAAATAAATAGAAATAGAAATGTAATTATATTTATATTTGTATGTAATAGATATGTTGTGCATAATATTTTATATTAATATTTAATACATATTTAATGTTTGTATTACTTGATACAAAATAAATAATAAATAAAAATAAATATAAATAATAAACATAAAGATAAATATAAAATAAAGAATAAATATATAATAAACAGTAAATAAATATAAAGATGCAAATGTAAAACTAGAAATATATAATAATTAAATAAAAATAAAGGTAAATATATAAAAATATATAAATATAAATATAATTATATTTATATTTGTATATAATAGATAATGTTATTAAATAGTAATGTAAACTATTATATAAAATATTTAATATTTATATTATTTTATATTTATACAATATAAGTAATATATAACATTATATAAAATAGAATCTTTGTATGTAGTATATAATTGTACTTGTATACATATAATATAATTATAACACATTATATTATAATATTATGTATTATAAAAATATAGAAAAATATATAAACAATCTATATAAAATATAGAAAATAAAAATAAATAATAATATAGAAAATAAAAGTAAAAATATAAAAAATATTCCCAGAGAGCAAGATCTTTATCAGGGACTTGTGGAGGGTCTGTATTTCTTTTCCCCTTTTCCCCCAACACCTTTGGGATAATTCAGGCAGATTTTTTTATAGGAAATCATTGGGAAGGACGTGGAATGTATCCAATGGATGCTCCATTATTTTTGGAGCCACTTTGGTGTCGATCTCTGTCCCAGAGCACCCTAATATTTGGGATAAAAAAGGAGGATTTAGGGAGCTGGGAGCTTGGAAACCCTGAGCTGGGGGGGAGCTCTGAGGGTGTTATCCCAGCCAGGGATATCCATAAATCCCTGGAATTTTTGGGACAGCTCCCTGTGGTCACAGCGTGACAGAAAAAATGGGATTTTTGCTGTTTTATCCTAATTAAAGCCATGGTTTGGGATGTTGGGCACCGAAAACAGAGGTTTTTTCCCCCCTGTGTTTTTCTTGGAAAATGCACCTTTTGGATTTGGATTTCTTTGCATTTGGTTTTATTCCTCTACATTTTCCATCCCAAATTCCTGTAGCTTGTTGATTTTTCCCTAATATTTTTTATTTTCCCTGTGTTTTTCTTCCAAAATGCACCTTTTGCCACACTGGATTTATTCGTCTACATTTCCCATCTAAAATTGCTGTAGCTCACTGACTTTTTTTCCTTACTATCCTTTTTTTCTCTGTGTTTTTCTGGGAAAATACCCCTTTTGCCACATTGGATTTATCTCTCCACATTTCCCGGTAAAATTCCTGTAGCTCATTATTTTTTCCATAATATCCTTTTATTCCCTGTGTTTTTCTTCCAAAATGCACCTTTGGCTACAAGGGATTTATTCCTCTACGTTTCCCATCTCAAATTCCTATAGCCTGTTGATTTTTTTCCTTAATATTTTGTATTTTCCCTGTGTTTTTTTCTGGCAAAATCCACCTTTTGCCACACT